ACAAGTGCATGGTTTAGATACAGTGACACTTATGAAAAAGACAGAAAGCACAAAGACAGAAATGAAGATCTAGATATTGAATTCTTTTACGGAGTAAGGAATGAGTACATCAGCGGGTCGTCACATGTTAATCACATGTTACTTGTTTCGAAGATAACGTCAGAGGCCTGGCTTAGATTAAGAAATGTACAAACGTAATGTCCAAAGACAAAAATCGTGAGAGTGTTCAAAGAAAGATTCCAAGTTTATTCGGGCAAGAAGCCAAGTGTGTAATCAAAGTATTCAACATTTTTTATACTCGAAAATTTCTCAAAAAACTTTCCTGAATTTTATAATAAACAACAAAATAGTAAATACGTTAGATTTTACCCCACAAAGAAAAATTGGGCCTTTCAATTGTGATGGCAATCCGTTGTTCTCAAACAAGTCACAGTTTTGTGAACAAACAGTAAGAGTCACTCTAAAGTCTACCAACAGATTGCTCTCTCCCTCTGCATGACAAACAAGATGAAGTGGCTCACCATAGTGATGAACGTAATTAAATACACGGCACTGAGTAGCACCAAAAAGTGGTCCTACTGATTACTGTTTATTACTTACACTGCTAAGAAATATTCTACTTCAACACGACGTGTGTAATATTGAATATTCGGTATGAGGGCAAACTTCATAAAAAATCTGCCAGGGATAAGTCTACCCGTCCCATATTTTATATAAATGCTTTACATATAAATGAAGAAAGAGGAAAACTAACATACATTTCTTGTAGGATCGAGATGCATAGAGCTTAGGTTATGCTAATTATTATGCTAATTATTATGAAAAACAAAAGGGACCCGTATAAAAGCATGGTTTTTGGGGTCTTTTGAGATTGAGCACAATTCATGTATAGTGGTGTATTTTTTGTACATGGATGTTTATATTTAGTGGCCAAATTACGAGGTAACGATGATTACGGCTCTAGGCCTCCTTGTCGGTTATGTTAATATCTATACTCTGTCGTTTAGAACCGTACGTTTGACGCATTGCATTGAAATAAAGATTTATCTGTATACCGGTCGTCGTTTTAATAGTAGTTTATGTACGAGTATCTTGCTGGTCACATAAGCCTGGAATTGTTGAAGCTTATATAGTTCTCGTAATTGTTGTTTAATCGATCAGCAATGACTCAGAAACGAAAGGGTCAAGGTAAAAAGTCGAAAATTAAAGGCTTATCAAAACGCGTACTTCAGCCGTCTGGCGAACAGTTAAGTCCTCCAGGTCAAGTGAGTCGAGCTAAATCTGGAGAGAATTCGCTTAACAATACGAATCAAGACATGATTGAATCCGCTGAAGATGACGGTAGCGAGCGAGCTGAAAGCGGACCGAACGTCGTCGTACAAAACAAGCAAGTTGTCGTTTCTGACGAGGCTTCGACGAGTTTGGGTTCGCCGGAGCGAGTAGCAGACGAACAGGAACAGGAGCTTGAACTTGGTCTAAGTCAGGTCGCTTCATTTTTGAAGGATAATTCGGTTTTATCGCCTCTTGCTCCTGTATTCCAGTCCAATTCTAATATCGGTAAACAAGCAGCTTCTCACGTGAACGTCACGCGGACTGCTCGTGCGTGGGAAAAGCCGACGCAAACAACAAATTTTGAAGACAACGGGGCTGGAGTAACGAGCGCGCTTGATTCAAAATGGGCAGAACGGTTTCGTGAACTTGAAGAATTGGAAATTAATAGAAGAGAAGAGCTGAACAAGCAGATGAGGGAGGCAAGGCTTAAACTAGAGAAAGAAATGCATCAGGCGAGAATTGAGCATGAGATGGCTATGAAGAAACGGGAAATACAACGACGTCGAGATGAGCTTCGGAAGCTTGAAGAAGAAGTTTTTGGTAATGATATTGAACATCAACTGTCGGACAGGGAAAGTAGTAGTAACGCTCGTGAACCAGATAAAAACCCAGTCCAGCAACCTTCAACCCCAATCGACAGAAGCAGTTTAAGTCAGCGCTTGGCGATACCTCCTACCGGAAATTGTGTACCCCAAGAAAGTATAATAACCAGTGGAACTGGATGTCAAACTCAGCAAAGCTTGCAACGAGACAATTCGTCGCAGTTACAATATCTATTAGAGAAGCAGCAGATTACGATGGACGAAGTAGTGAAGGGATTAAGAATGCCTCAAAGGGAATACATGAGTTTTGATGGCGAACCTCGCAACTTTCCGTTGTTCATGAAGAATTTTGAAGTGAATGTCGAGAGTAAAGAAAGTAATGATGCAGATCGACTGAATTACCTTATTCAGTATTGTAAAGGAACAGCAAGACAAGCGATAGAGCATTGCATCATTATGCCTCCGGATCAAGGATACAAGCGTGCTAAGGAAATCCTGAGAAAAAACTTTGGTCGAAATCACATCGTAACCCAAGCATTCCTTGAGAAAGTCTTGAATGGACCGCCAATTAGAGTAAACGAAGCCGAGAAATTGTCGCAGCTAGCAAGAGATATGGAAACGTGTCTCCTTGGTTCTATTCAGTTAGGAAATCGGGCAAGTATCAATTCGATGGACACTCTGGGAAGGGTAGTTAGCCGCCTTCCAATGCATCTCAAGTCAAAATGGGCTGATAAAGCAAGCCATATGTACGACAATCACATCACACCAGATTTCTCTCATTTAACTGAATTCATACAATCCCGCGCAGCCGTGGCTAGTACGTACTTTGGTCAAATGATTACCTCGAAAAATGAAACCCGAAAGGATGGAACTGACAGATTGAAGAAGAAATCCTTCTTGTTTAGTGGGAATAGCACAAACTTAGCAACTCACAGCCAGAGAATATTTGACAGTAGTGAATCAAAGGGAAGAAATTTATCCTGCGTACTATGCAAAGGCACACACCATCTTGAACGCTGTCACAAGTTCAGGGCTCAAAATCTTCAGCAACGACAAGACCTAGTAAAGACGCACAAAGTTTGTCATGCTTGCTTGAGCCCAGGACATTTCGTGAAAGACTGCAGAGGTGCCCGCATATGCGGTGTTGAAGGTTGTCAGAGAAGGCACCATCCTTTGTTACACTCATCCGAAATAAAGGCTAAGGATTCTAAATCAAGTGAAAGGAGTAATCCAAATCCTGAACCATCTGAAAGCGACAGCCAATCCAAAGCACTCCCAACGTCTGGAGTTGGCGCGACAAATTCATCATATAGCAGTTGTCGTATAGGTTTGCAAGTTATTCCAGTTAAGGTCAGCGCACCCTATGGTAGTCGTGTGATAGAAACTTATGCGTTCTTAGACAGTGGCTCCAACACAACCATGTGCTTAACCAGTTTAGCTGAAGATCTTGGAGCCGATTGCTCACCCATCGAATTCACGTTAGCGACTGTTTCAGGCAGCCACAAAAGTAAGGGTCAACAGTTATCTCTCGATGTGGTTGGAGTATCCACGGGCAAAGGTGTCAGACTAGATAAAGTTTGGACGACCAACACTCTTCCTGTTGCTCTAGAAAGTATTCCCACGAACACTGATGTAAAAAGGGTGGTCTCACCTTAAAGGCGTTAATCTAACCGATTTAGTGGATAAGAAAGTCACTATCCTTATTGGAAGTGACGTTCCCGAAGCTCTTTGCCCCCCTTGAAGTGCGTTCTGGGAAAAGAAATCAACCCTACGCAATACGGACAATCCTCGGTTGGACGGTGATGGGACCTCTGAAGGGAAAACCTTATCAAGAAGCTCAGATGAACTTCATTCATGTTGATCAAGCTCTTGGGTGTATGGAAAGGGAAGATGGTATGAGTTCCATTCGTCAGCAATTGCAAAATCTCTACAATTCAGAGTTTAGCGAGTCGGCTGCTGACGTTAAAGAATGTCTGTCGGTCGAGGATCGTCGCGCAAAGGCAATAATGGATAGAACTGTCAAGCTAGAAAATCATCAATATGAAATTGGTCTTCCTTGGAAATACGATGACCCACTCTCCCGTACAATAAGTCTATGGCTGAAAGGAGACTTGCTTATTTGAAGAAACGACTTGAGAGGGACCCCATACTTCACGCAAATTATAAGGCAACGATGAAGGAATACATCTCAAAAGGGCACGCTAAAGTAGTTCAAGTGGATAAACAAAATACACAGGACGAGTCACTCAAAAAACTGGTTTGGTATCTGCCTCATCACCCTGTGACACACCCGCAAAAACCAGAAAAGACAAGAATCGTTTTTGACTGTGCTGCGAAGTTCCACAACGCATCCCTAAATAATCAGCTTCTTCAAGGACCAGATTATACCAATTCATTAGTTGGTGTATTGTTGCGGTTCAGGCAGGAAAAGATAGCGGTAATGGCAGATATTGAGAAGATGTTCCATCAGGTGAAGGTTAAGCCAGAAGACTGTAATGCACTGAGATTTCTATGGTGGCCAGAGGGAGATCTATCCAAAGAACCAGTAGAGCATCAAATGACTGTTCATTTATTCGGAGCAACCTCTTCCCCAAGTTGTTGTTCTTACGCGTTAAAAAGAACAGCTTCAGATAATCGGGAAGAATTCAGCAAACAAGTTGTCGACACAGTTGATCGTAACTTTTATGTAGATGACTGTCTCAAGTCTTTACCAGAAAGGAAAGAAGCAATGAAGTTGGTAGACGAACTACCAGTTTTGCTGTCTCGCGGTGGATTCCATCTCACAAAGTGGGTGTCAAATGATCGAGAAGTCTTATCTCACGTACCTAACAAAGAAAGAGCGCCATGCGTCAGCCTTCAGTTGGAGAAGTTGCCGATGGAGAAAGCATTGGGCGTTCAGTGGAATACGGAAAGGGACACGTTGGGATTCCGGGAAGCAAATTGAAAGCAGAGTCAAGAAGAGGGATTCTATCGTTCATAGCTTCGGTCTACGATCCCCTTGGTCTAGTCGCTCCTGTCGTTTTACCAGCCAAACGCATAATGCAAAACCTGTGTCGAGTAAATCACGGCTGGGACGAAGATCTCCCAATCGAGACAAGCGAAATATGGCATGACTGGCAAACGAATTCCATTCCCTTGTGAAATTAGAAATACCTCGATGCTATAAACCGCACGAATTTAACAAGACAAGGAATGCGGAACTCCACTATTTTGCTGACGCATCGACTGAAGGATATGGGGTAGCAACGTACCTTCGGCTGGAAGATACCCAAGGAAGGATTCATTGTACCTTAGTTATGGGCAAATCAAGAGTTGCACCTCTTAAAACAGTCACGGTACCCAGATTGGAACTAACCGCTGCAACATTGGCCGTGAAGCTGAATAAACAAATTTGTGATGAGTTGGATCTGTCAATAAGTCAAATTGTTTTCTGGAGCGATTCAATGATAGTGCTGCGTTACATTAAGAGCGAGAACAAAAGGTTTCAAACCTTTGTAGCGAATCGATTACAAGTTATTCACGATGCTTCTACTCCGAATCAATGGAGACATGTGCCAACCAAGCTCAACCCAGCCGACCTTGCATCAAGAGGTATAAGTCTTGGTCGCGCAACAGGCCAAGACCAACGGGACTTGCAGTTTTGGTTGAACGGACCCGATTTCCTTTGGAAAGATCCCAAATTATGGCCAACGCAGCTAGATGACATACCAGACGTAGAAGACACAGATGTGGAAGTAAAGAAACCTAAAGCAAGAGTTGGTGCCGTCATCAACTCAAAGGATGCACCCCCTGATTCGCTAATACAACTTATCCATCGAACATCCGAATGGTACAGATTGCAGAAGTCGGTTGCATGGCTGCTAAGATTCAAACAGTACATCTTAAGCCGTTATCCAAACGGTCCAGGATTAGAAGTACAACGTGGTCCTCTAAAGGTAAAAGAGATTGAATCGGCAACCCAGGAAATAATTAAACTTACCCAACGAAGTTCATCTATCAACGAGAAAACTATGAGAGAGAGATACGCTAAACTATGTCCAGTCATCGCCGGAGGAATTGTGAGAGTTGGTGGACGTTTGGATAAATCATCGCTGCCGGAAGAATCTAAACATCCCGCAATTCTTGATTCCAGTCATCACGTTACAAAGCTCATTGTCCGGTATTACCATGCAAAGGAAGGTCACGCTGGAACCAGTCAAACTCTAGCAGCAATACGGCAACGCTTCTGGATAATAAAGGGACCTAGCACTGTGAAGAGTATAGTCAATAATTGTGTTCCGTGTCGTCGCCGAAACCAGTCTCCAGGGAAGCAGATAATGGCCCCACTGCCAAAAGCTCGTGTGAAATCTGGTGAGTACCCGTTTTCATCTGTGGGAGTCGATTATTTTGGACCTCTTAAAGTCAAATATAAAAGAGGAACTGAAAAACGATATGGCTGTGTATTCACTTGCTTAGCCATAAGGGCCATACACATTGAGATTGCACATGACCTATCGACAGATTCCTTCATTCAAGCCGTATGTAGGTTCGTCAGTCGACGCGGACCGCCGAATGAGTTGTTCAGTGACAACGGGACGAATTTTAGAGGAGCGGAATCTGAAGTTAAGCAAATGTTGCAAAATTGGAATCAAGCTAGAATATTAGATCGTCTAAGAGAAAGGGAATTCAATGGCATTTCTCTGCTCCGAAAGCAAGCCATAGCGGGGGAGTTTGGGAGCGCATGATCAGAACAATCAGGAAGCAAATGCGTGTTATAATAGGAGACCGAGTTGTTGATGATGAAACACTCCTTACAGTAATGTGCGAAGTCGAGAAAATAGTGAATGATCGGCCTCTTGTACGGCAGTGTGATGACCCTCGAGATTTATCAACTCTTACACCAAACACTCTACTCCTGCGTTATCGAAACATAAGCACAAGTGCAAGTTCTTCACCTACGGCAAATAACCCCCGAGAAATATGGAAACGAGCGCAGAAGTTAGCTGACCAATTTTGGGCAAGGTGGTTAAAAGAATACCTGCCAAGTTTGCAAGAACGACAGAAATGGCTACACCCAAAACGAAACTTAATCAAAGGTGATGTCGTTTTGATGGTGATGGAAGATACTCCCAGAGGTGAATGGCCTCTAGCGATAGTTGAAGAAACATTTCCCGATAGCAACGGACATGTTCGGCAAGTAGAGATCCGCACGGCGAATCAAAGTCGTTATCGTCGAGATGTCAGGAAGTTGTGCCTATTGGAGACTGCGAAGTAAAGCGAGAAATTCTTCAGAAAACGAACGTTATTGTTGTTGTCACTTAACTGTTATTATTATTTTGTTTACGTTAAACGACGGTATCTATTGGTTTATGTTTGGTTATTCGACAAGATTGGTGGACACATTGTTTAAAACTTGCGCAAGTTAACATTGAAAACATTTGTATTGTAGCTCTCGATCCTTTTTGAATTATTGAACGACGTATAGTAGGTCGTTCGGGGCTGGTATGTAGGATCGAGATGCATAGAGCTTAGGTTATGCTAATTATTATGCTAATTATTATGAAAACAAAAGGGACCCGTATAAAAGCATGGTTTTGGGGTCTTTTGAGATTGAGCACAATTCATGTATAGTGGTGTATTTTTTGTACATGGATGTTTATATTTAGTGGCCAAATTACGAGGTAACGATGATTACGGCTCTAGGCCTCCTTGTCGGTTATGTTAATATCTATACTCTGTCGTTTAGAACCGTACGTTTGACGCATTGCATTGAAATAAAGACTTATCTGTATACCGGTCGTCGTTTTAATAGTAGTTTATGTACGAGTATCTTGCTGGTCACATAAGCCTGGAATTGTTGAAGCTTATATTTCTTATAAATAGAATATTGCATACAGCTTAGCAATAATACGCTTCGTGCAAGTCGTTAATGCGTGAAACTCAATGTAGCGAAGCTTTTGTTATTAAATGAGATATTAAATTATTTGTTATCAAACGTGCCGTCACATAATTTCTTAGTTCTTACAGTATGTCGTTTGTCAAAGAAAATCGCAGACTAAATGAAGATATCGATGATGTTAATGAGTCACAATTGACTAAATTAGAATCTAAAAGAGGAATGTCATTTTGGAAACTGTTGAGGTTCTTGATAGCAAACAAACAGTTTGTTGCAGTTATCATTTCGGTGTTCCTGGGCTTCTTGATTGGGATTGTTTTACACGATGCTGTTCAAAAATCCGACGAGCCCGAGAAAATGGTTATGTACATCAAGTTTCCCGGTGAACTGTTTATTCGAATGCTAAGAATGATCATAATACCCCTAACAATAAGTACTATCGTGGTAGCTTTGGCAGAGACTGACACCGGCAAAGCAAAAAAGCTGGGAAAGTATACATTCTTGTATTATCTAACAACTACCATTTTCGCCACTGTGCTTGGCATAACACTAATAATGATTATAAAACCTGGGAAAGATCACACAGCAAAAAGAGATGATGAATTCAATGAATCGAGCCCAATTAGCGCTTTGGATTCATTCCTTGATCTACTAAGGTAGGTACACAATAAATTATTGCAAAACTATTCATTTCCCTCTAAAGCGACTACGTTTTTCTTTAAAAACTTTCAACTATGCTCAATTATTTACTCCGTGATATGTTAGTACTAGTTTAACTATTTTAGGGTATGATGTGTGCATACCCAACCCGTCAACAGAAACTGTCTTTGTAGTAAGCAATTAGTTGGACGAACAAACACACAACAGCTTTCATTCTTGATTGGTTAAATAAACGGAGTTCATATACTGAATAATTACAGAGTGTAACAACTTTTTTGTTTAACGGTTTGAAGATAATTCAACATTTTGAATTCAATATGATAACCGGGTGACCAATCAAGTGCTACTTCATTATTTTAGAAGACAATGATGGAAGAGCTGTGTAATGTTTGGATAATTAAGTGTTACCTATTTTCTTGATGCCCATCTGAATTTGTGACTGATATTTAAGGAAAAATTATATGTAGTTTCGTTAATTTTATGGCAGCCAATTTGCAGGCTGAACACTCTGTTTCATTGGAAACGGTCACCTGTAGCCTGTAAGCACAGGAAATGATATCACTTTTCTGAATACGTATGTAGACATGGCGGAAGTATAGCATGGCATGTCATTTACGTTCAAAGTGTGTAATCCTCTCTCTATTTTGCTGACTATGGTTGAAAAACAAACTCCTAACAAATGTTATTTAAATATATATATGTTGTTACAACAAACCAACACAGCCCATTGCCTAAAAATAGGATTAAATTTGTATGATATTGTCTTGCCAGAATTGCCTGCTATGGCGGAAGAAAACAGTTTGTTCTTATTTGAATTTACTGTGCTCGAATGGTTAATTTAGGATTAAGGAAATTTAAAATTGTGCGTGTAGTAAATATCTCAAAAATAGTTTTATTTAATATAGCCACCAATTCATCGTTTATCGTTAAAATTTTATTTTGTGGCATTTTGACAAAAAAATATTGTTATTACTCGAATTTATTATCATCACGCAGAAATGACCTTCAGACCTCACTAAAGATGTTTTCATAAAGTTTTTTTCATGAAAATCTTTTATATTTTTATGTTTATGTTCGTATACGTCAAATAAACAATATTTGAGCTCTGTACATGTCAAGGCTACCCCACATGTACACCTGGCGTACCTAGTTTTATACTTGATATAATAAATATCTCCTACTAGTGGTGAGTAGGCAATTGATTTGGCCATATAGTCGCCTAAGAACCCTAAATGCAAAGTTGTTACAAACTCAAATGATTTGATATTTCATGCTTAACTTTGTAGAAATAACCAAACGTCTGTTCTTTGCTCAAATGATGAGATATTTGATATTTTGCTTTATAGAAATTTGATCCCAAAAAATTTGATGGAAGCAACATTAAAATCAGTAAGTGTATGTTTACGTGCGTGCACTCAGCGATAAAATAATCGAAATTCTTCTGAGTTCAAATTCATTTTAATGTTTTTTGGAAAAGTCAAAAAATCGATTTTTTTTAAGTTCCTTCCTTTCAAGAATATTTTACGCACTTTTGTTTAAAATAAGATAAATGGGGGGAAAAGAGTCAGAAACTGTTGTATTCTTATTTTCGAATCATTATACCCACCCCAAGTATATTGAAAAACACAAATAAATAAATGTAAGTTGAATAGTGGGTATTTTTTTTGTTTCAAATATATTCAACAGAATCACCACCATTTCAAATTAATAGATATTAAAAAACATGTTAAAAAAGGTAACAATGTTGGTTCATAAACAACATGATCGATATTCTGGGGGGAGAGAAATGGTAGATACTATTATTCAATATACAGAGAAATATCGTAGAGATACAGAAAAAAAACAATGTTTGAATTAAAAGGTTAGTTTCTCTTTATGTGGCTGTCTACATATCCTGCCATGTGCTTCTGATCAGATTGACCTTGTTATTTTTGTGTTCATTTGAATTAAATTGTTCGTGGTAATACTGATACAAACAAACTTAAAAGCAGCAGTTTTATGTTGGCAATTCTTAATGGTTACAAACAATGCAAAACTTTGCTTTTTGTAGACTTTGTTCATGTTCGTAACAGTGAATTGCAAAAAGATGTATTGGGACACATTTCATCATTGAACATATTCTCCAATAAATTGACTATTGACCGCATAACATACAAATTCTACTCGAATATAAAACACTATAATTTCCAATAAGACATTATTCTGGCGATGGAACAGTTTAATAATTTAAAATTTATTACAACTAACAGGGTCTGTATTCATTTGTAGACACAAAGTAACTTCGCAGAGAAGAGCATAAATTTTCGGAAGGAAAACATAAGTATCCCTGAATCTGCTGAGGATGCAGCTGATCTTCTTGGAAACAACATTGTTCTACCATGGAGCACAAATCGTAAAAATATAACGATTATCAAACATGCGAAATCCTACAAATTTTCTGGTACTATCGACAAAGATGGTACAAACTTCATGGGTCTGATTATCTTTTCAATTCTTCTTGGAGTAATCCTAAGAAAACTAGGAGATGATGGTCGTCCTTTGTTGGAATTTTGTCGAGCTTGGTTGCATGTTATTATGATGCTTGTATCATGGATAATGTGGTAAGTGTGAATCTTACATGTAAGCTAACTTTACTCGATTTTGTCACATTCTTACATATAGTAATTATTGTTGAAATGCTAAAAAGTTCCTTCAATAAATTTAACCTATAGGATTTCACCTATCGGTATTCTATCTTTGATCGCTGGAAGTTTAACGGAAGTTGAGGATATCGTACAAACATTTAAGAATGTTGGTTTGTTCGTCACCGTAAATTTTGTTGGTTGTTTCATTCAAGCGTTCATAGTCTACCCTTCGCTATACTTTTTTTTTGTGAGAAAGAATCCATTGAAGTATTTAGGTGGTATAGTTCCAGCAATGATCACAGCATTTGGAACATCATCGAGGTAATTAAATACAAATACAGCTCCGTTTGTTAGTGAAAACTCTGACTATCCTCACAATATCTCCTATAACCCCCTACAATGTTTATATTTGTATTAGTGAAAACTCTGACAATCCTCACAATATCTCTTATAACCCCCTACAATGTGTATATTTGTATTTGTGAAAATTCTGACAATCCTCACAATATCTCCTATAACCCCAACAATGTGTATATTTGTATTAGTGAAAACTCTGACAATCCTCACAATATCTCTTATAACCCCCTACAATGTGTATATTTGTATTTGTGAAAACTCTGACAATCCTCACAATATCTCCTATAACCCCCTACAATGTGTATATTTGTATTAGTGAAAACTCTGACAATCCTCACAATATCTCCTATAACCCCCTACAATGTGTATATTTGTATTAGTGAAAACTCTGACAATCCTCACAATATCTCCTATAACCCCCTACAATGTGTATATTTGTACTCAATATGCAGTGGTGGAAATTTAGTTGTAGAGGTGAAGTAGGGAGCAAAGCTTTGTAAATTTCCAACATATATTTATACGTATGAAGTCATGGATGCGATCTTTTCGAATTCCTTGCTTCAAAATTGTTTGGTCTTTGACCAAATTCTATGAATTATTTTCTTTAGCGGTTTTCAAAGATGGATTCACTGAAAATCGGGGTCGATAGAAGATGTCCTGGGGTCTATATCACAACAACATGCAAATAACAAGAAAATACAGCTTGAATATAATCATATTTAAGTATGAATTTCTCAATGCTACGCAGCATTCGCGACAAAATCGAAAATTTCAAACAAATTACATCTCCACCTCCCTGCACTGAGATTTCCACACACCCCTGCACTGAGATTTCCACCACTGGTACTTAATACTTTTAGGACATTTTAATTGCCCGATATGCAGTTACCAAATGCAATATTTATTGCTGGATTTACGTAATCCTTAAAAAAAGTTTTAAATTCTTCCAGTCCAAACAGAATGTATAGTTAACAAACTACAAAAAAAACATTGTGTTTCTGCTTTTGCACAGCTCAGCCACACTACCTGTGACCATACGCTGCGTTACAGAAAACAATAAAGTGGATCGAAAAGTTGCTCAATTCTGTTTACCAATTGGTGCAACGTGCAATATGGACGGTAGCGCGTTATACTTTGCTACTGTTGTTATATTTTTGGCAAACTTGGAAAAAATCAATCTGTCGTTTGGAGAAGTCGTTCTAACAGCGTAAGTAACTTTTCCACCTTTCTATAATATAATGAAAACTTTATTTTTCAGCAGGTGATATTACTCGTACGGCATGTGCATGTATGAAAGATTGTTGTATTGTCCGGCAAATGACGAGTTAACAACGATTTAAATCTATTCATATATTCTATATAGTTTGATTGCAATGTTTGTATCAGCTGGCGCCTCAGGAATTCCCAGTGCCGGATTATCCTACACCATTTTATGTCTTGAAGCAGTAGGAATTCCAACAAAATATATTGGCCTTATCTTCGCGATTGATTGGTTTATGTGAGTTAATATAGTAGGATTAAATGCAGATAGTTCATGATTCATTGTCTAAAGGTTTTAAAATATCAGCTTTTTTAATGTGAGCCACCTGGACTATCATATTTTACTTTTAATACATACACAGAGACCGAATTCAAACGGTGAACAATGTTATGGGTGATGCGTATGGCGCTGGAATATTGAATCAAGTTACAGATATGACAGATCAAGAGAATAACGTGGAGAAAAGCAACTCGAAATTGAACGTGATTTTTAACGCACATGCAGCTGAAGAAAAAAATAATCAACATGTCTGATTATGTCCACCTGGATGGTTTACCAAAGCAGAGGAGTAACGTGCATTTTTAGTTTTCTATAATTGTAATTCTTATATTTTCAGGGGTTGTTTTCTAGAATAAATATTAACATTTACTAGTTTACGACATTTTTCAAAATTTTACTTCAGTCAAACAGCCAAACAGCATTTCAATTACAATCATGCGCTTTTAACTACGTTTCCATAATTCTTTATTTGTAATATCTATAACCAACTTCGGCTTATGAATTTGAACAATATTCATTCAGGAAGTGACCAAGAGAACAGTGGCGTAGGAAGTAGGGCACGCCCCCAACACTAAATTTAACATAAAAACTGCCCTTTTAGGTACGTGCAGCATGAGGTAAGTTACATGAAATTTGGATTATTTGGCAAAATTATCCTTAATTACTTGTCGAGAACATACTTTACCAGAGTTGTACCGTGAATTATAACATGTTTTTCACGTTCACAAGCAGCAGTCATATTATATCTCTCAGCCAGGACAGGTTACATGTCGTTTTTAAGTCTGAGCTGCATAGATTGAGCGCATACCTTTAATAAGCATCTGACTTAGCTCAACTTTGAAAATGGAATGTGGAATACGCAAACTTCCCATTGCAGATCTTTTTTCTAATTCACGATATAGCTTTTTTCAAATCATCCATTTTAGCTTTTCAATGGCCTTGTAAGTTCAAGATATGTAATCCATTGAGCATGAAATTGAAGCATGACTCAAAGCTTCCCTTACTAGCAAAATACTCAAAATCTCGGTGGCAATAATGGAACCATTTTTGAAACAAGAAAATTCAATTACTCGTCGCCACTTTTCATTTGTCATTTCATCGGAATATTTTTCCATGAATATAAGATCGTGTAATGAATACCATTTATTTGTAGAGTCACGAATACCATTCAAATAAATATTTTGAAGAAAGGAACTCAGAACCTCTTCATCGTTGGCAAGTAGCACATTAACAATGGAACAAAATGACAGTCCGCAACTAAATTTTGGGCTGTTAATATTGGATTGAAGTAAAATAGTGGTACAAGATAAAGAGAGATTTGATGCCAGGAGAGCCTTGTAGTGAGATACTTTGAAATCTCCGTAAGTTTTCCCATATTCAATAATTGCATGATATTTTCCTTGTTTTGCTAAGGTACATGCAACATTTTCGTGAGCCATGAGCTTAAAATAAATTCCTTCTGCAATTGCCTGACATTGACAAACACAATTTCCAACACATTTGCACCAATTGACAAACAAGTCAGCCAAAGGTAATGAACCCTCAATACAAGGATTGCAAAGCCAATGAGCAGCTAGATTTATCCCACTCTCATTCAAAGCACATGCAATACATTCTAAGGACATATTAGCTGGTAACTTGAAATTTGTTTTCGAATCAGTTATGGCAGTGGTAGACATTAGAGCTTCGCAATAAAGAAACAAAGGTGATTTGGATTCTGTATGATGTTCAGCTTCTTTAAATTTTTGCATTGCTTGAGGTGTGCGTAATATTGCCATTGGTGAAGCTGCAGCATGAACAGCTGCAGCTTCAAACTGTGAGAATTCAAGAAGATTATGAAAATGCTCAACATAGGATATAAGTTTTTCAGATTCCTTCTTCTTCAAGGGATCATCTTCATCTGCTAACACCTGATTTTTTAAAGGATCAAATTCCCTTAAAGGATCTAGTTTTTCATTATCATTTAGTGCTTTCAAAATGACATTGGCAAGGTCTTTATTTGGACCATTTTCTGAGGCAAGAATGTGTGATTTTGCTACCTTAAAAACATAAGTATTTTAATTAAATGCTAATTTTGCTTAAGTTAGAAATCATCACAAAAAGAAAACTTTCTCATGCTCAAACTTAGTAAAAAAGACCAATGAGATGACATTAAGTATTAAACTGCTGCACTTGACGTGAAAGTGTAAAACATGCATTTTCTGCAAAGATCTTGTTTCCAGACCTAAGATATCATTTGTGGCAACTACATCCAATTAGTCACAACTAAAAAATTAAATATTTGGTAGCTCTTAAATGCCAAATTATCTTACCTCAACAGCAGTGGTTAGTTGCCAAAGTTTATGTCTCAAGATTTTGTTGTATCTTTTGATATGACTCTTGGATTTTTCTCTAGCTCTCAGATTTTGTTCCAGCATTTTTTTCCTCTCTTTTGGCAGAAACTTGGTGTTTAATTTCTCATTCATATCTTTCACCTCATCTTGCAATTTAGCAAGACAAGTGGACAAACTATTGATATCTGTTTGTTCAGCCAAATTTAAACCAGGCAGCAAGATATTTTTTTTTATAATTTTATGGTCAGCGGGGCTTCTAACATGGTTCACTTGGCCTTTTTGGAAATTTTTTATTTTATGGAACCGAGTTTTCTTTTTTAAATTGTCCTCTCTAAGACGTTTCACTTTAGATTTAAGTTCATTAACTATTTTTTCGTAGTTTTCATTAACGGAAAACATCAATTCCCTAGAAATTACGTTTCTTTGTTTTTCCCCCTTTTCTACAGTTTTCAAGACAACACAATATTCTTCGTTGATTTCCGCCAAAAGCGACTTAAAGTTTGCGCTTTCTTCAATTAACATGTCAAAAGCCTGTTTAAATATAGTGAATCTTTCTTTTCTTGAAGCGTAAAACTCGTCACCTAAAGCTTTTTGTTCTTTGCGAATGAATATTTCAATTGCCTGCTCACGGCTATGAGCGAAACCTTCGCTATGAGAATCAAATGAACACAAACTAGAAGCAATTTCTGGCAAAAAGTGATATGAAGTACTCACATCGTCTTTTTTCTTGAAGTCAAGTTTCTTAGTCATATTCCACAAAATCATTCCAATTAAAGTAGAATACCAATAATTAGTTTTCATTTGAAGATTTGCTACATTCCACACGTTTAGTGTGACATACTGAAATCAGAATTGTCGATAAAATCGTTATGGTAACAGTACCACGTGATATTGGTTCGTGTGTAAAGCGTGTTATTGATTATGCCGATTTAAAGTCTGTGCTTGTTTGGCAATAACCATGGTGATAACTAGTCGAAGCACTTACTATGTTATTGCCGGTGTTACTGTCTCGAAATATGTGAAATCTCAACCCAAAATCGCTAATATGGGCCTTTTGATTTTAAAATTTTAGTAGTTATTTCACCCAGACCCACGAAGAAACACATCGGCATGGATCTTTGTGGTGAAACTTTGACTCCGAACGTATTCACTGTTGTCATGACAACGTAAATGCTACAAAAATTGTGTTACAAATACTCGTACACGAAAAAGCAAAAGTGACATTCGAAGGTTTATAAAGAATGGCAAAAAACTTTAGCGCAAATCAGGTAAATAGAATTAATTTACATACTTAAGTTTGAGAATAAAGATGCTATATGACAAATTCTTTTCACAAAATAGTATGAAAACGCATTTGCCGGAAAGCGTCTGCAGAACTGGGAAATTCCAGCAAAGTTCAAAGAGGTATATGGCAAAATATGTCTACTATAGAAATTGAACTATGTTTTTGACATTTATGACAATTATTTGACAATTATTGACACTTTCCTAGCGACCTTCTCCGCTCAATGGTTACACCAAACTTATTGCTGACGATAGAGGTCATCTTATTGACGGTATTAAGCGCTCTAAAAAATGTCCATGGGGTGGATTTAGTGGCACTTGGGACTCGAGAGATGACAAAAATAAACGCATTCAGAAAACAGAAAAACACGAAACGTTGCCAATTGAAAGCAAAGCTGATATCTTAACCATAAAATCACCTCATCCAGCTAATGAAGACAATAGTAATGATAAACTATTATCACCAGCTCCTCAAATATTTGATGAAAAGAACATTGGAATATCAAAACACATTGAAGAAACAAGTAAAAATGAAAAAAATGAAGAAAATGATGAACAAAGTTCCCTGCCAATTCCCAAAACTTCTGAACAAATCCCTAGTCCCATTGAATGAAAAGATGAATTATAACCCAAACAAATTAAAAAGGATCAGATAACATGCTGTGAAGAGATTATAAATTATTCAATACACATTGAATGCAATATACATAATTATGTTCACCTTTTTTCTTTAATTGAACTTGTAAAAGCTTCCAATAGAGGTTGTTTAAAACATTTGTCACCCATCAAGTTGATTGGTTTTAAGTAACAGCAATCCACCTCATTGTGATTTTGCCTTCTGGCAACCTTACACCAAGGACATGATACTTTATAGAACCTCTATGTCTATAGAACGAAGAATAACACATACGTATGCAATGTGTGTATGATAAAATGCAACTATAAGTTGCTCCAATTCTGACCTTGGTCTACTAGGCCACTGTATTCAGCCATTTACGATTTCATGGCAGTAAGCGGTTGTATTCAGAAAGTAGGGCTGACTTCTTCGTCATTTCCCATGAACGAGCAGCAAAATGATACCTAATGCAGACCACATTAATTAGAATATTCCTTGTTACGTATTTTTTAATACAAACAGCTAGCTTCACTGACCAATTTTTTTCTGAAAGCTGATGATGAGTAAGATGATGTCTTCTCATTGAAAATATCTAATACAATATTAAGCACATTTATTTTTATGGGTATAAAAACTATAATGGTTGAAAGAGTGAGACAAAACAACAAAAAATGAACAACAGCAAAATATTTTAAATTGAGCAAAAATACCTGATTTCTCAACTGCTTAACAATTACTTTTAGATTGGGATATCCATCATAATTCAACAAATTGACTTTTTTCTCTGAATAAAGTGTGTAAATAAGAAAGATTTGTCTGTTTTGACAACACCTTCAAAAAATATTTATTTAATATCAAGGAGAGTAAGGAAAGATTACGAGCAAAAAGGCAAATGTTTTTTCACCTTCTTTTTCATAAAGTCCCTCTGACATTGGAACCAAAAACAGATTCAAGTCAGCATACTGATGAAAACCATAAGAGAAGGGAAATTTGTCAACCGAAGGTAATGATGCAGATGCTAAAATGATAATTAAAACAGTAAAATGAATCAATCATCTCTTTTTTTCACAGAAAACATTTTGTAAACATTTTATGGATTACTTTTTATACGAAGTCTGGAGTTTTGAAAAAGAACATCAGTAACTAGAAGCATATTTTGTATATTCTTTGCCTCAAAATCCTCTCGAGAACACTTGTTGTAGACAAACACTACATAAGTTGGAAAGAAATCATAATTTGTTCGTATTCATGTACGTACATTCGACAAAATGTTGATACTCACTGACATTAGGGTAATAGTCATCAAACTCGTCTGATGACAGGTTGCTACACAAAAAAGTTTTCATTATGTGAAAATACATATGCAAAATATCAAAAACATTTCACCAACTAGCAGATATGCAGGTGGTATAGCCAGTCCACAAGGATTGGTCATGCTGAGTAAATTAGAGAGCATTATCAATATTAATTAAGAACTTTATAAAAAATTTTTTTTTCAATGAATAAATACAGAAAAATTTACATAGCAGAAGTTTATAAGCAGGCTAAATATGCAATAACTTGGCGAAATTATAGTTTACAATAGAATAAACCTTGAACTTTCATGAGATGAAGAATGGACACCTGAGGTTGGCTTTAACATCTCAGCAGTTTTAAGAAATCTATGAAAGCAAGGTATGTTCATACAACATAATAAAGTTTTCAACAAAACTAATCATAGGTGAAACTGTCTATGTATAAGATAACAATTACCGCATCACATTGAGATCACAAAACCAATCTTGCACCACAAGAATGACATGACAAACAGTGAAAAGGAATGTTGTAATTTGCAGGGACTAAAACACATTTAAATACATCACACACTATTGGTCTTATTCCCAGAAACCTATCTGGTAATTAATTCATAAACATAAGACAGGTAGTGATAAATAAATAAATAAAAAAAATGTCATAAGGTTTTGAATATCAAAACAATTTAGCCAAGTACACACTTGTAATTCAGCATAATTTTCAGCAGATGAAACTTCAGAAGGGAGGCTTCTTTCATAACGAATGACATTATCCAAAATGGATGCATTAAGAATAGGCTGTTTATTACAACAAGATCAAGGATAACCATTTGTTCAGCATACTAATATCAATAGGCCTCAACATTACCTGAGTGTCTAAGAAGATAATTCTGTCATTTGTAATAGTCATATCAATACCAGTTGTTTCATTCACACTTAGCTCCTATAAAAGTGTCCAAACAAAGAAAATTGTTCCAATAATAACAAAAAAAAACTACTCAAATTTGGCAAACAACACCTTGACTACATATTGGAACAAAAGTTTGCAATACCTCAGTTTGCCTTGATTGGGGATTAAATATGCAAGACCTAAAGAAAACTATTTTTTAATTGTAAGTAAAAACACCAAAATTTAAATGAGATTTAACAAACCCTTTATCCTTTTCAGCTAAGCCATTTGCAAGAAGAGAAAGAATAGTTGATTTTCCAACACCCTGACAACCAATTACTCCCACAACAAGAAAATCACTTTGATCTGTTAAGATCTAAAAGAAAACTTGAAAATAGAAAGTAATCAATAGCACATATCCAATAATTAGAAAAAAACTATAATAAAAAAACATATTCAATAATCAATAGTTCATGTCCACTAATCACTTGTGCATATGCAATAATTACTACCTCATTCCAATCATTAAATAAAAAATGCTAATACCTCCAATGCATGGTCATTCCAGTGGAATTTATCATCTACAATTTTATAACACTTCAAAGTTGTGTTTAGTGCAGTTAGGTCACTTCCATCAATTCCTACACAATTGTGAATAACTAAAAATTATAAAACACTAAATAAAAAATTTAACTACATATGGCAAACATGTACTGGTAGTGTAACTAGTAATAAGTTTGCCAATTATTGCATAAATTAGAGAAGAAATAAACATCGAGATCCAACAAGAAATTCCTTTTAGAATTCCATCTACACAACAAAATGAACACCATAACTATGATGGTAATTATACCTCCACCAGAAGAACCAACTATAGGACGTCGCTGTACTTGTTGCCGACCAGAGCTTGCAGATGTGATTGAAGAAAGTAGACCAGAAGAAATAGGTGCATCAATAGATGATTTGCTGATTTTCTGAGGAAATGCTGGAGAAGCTCCAGCTATATGAGTTGTGCCAGTACCTTCTTCTCTATATATGTTACAAAAAATTCAAACTTAATATTAAGTTAATAGCTTCAATTGATTATTTAAAGTACTTCAAATTGTTTTAAATAATTAATAATCAATTAATTAATTCAATCCAAACTGTTGAGTATGTCCATTTTTGTGAAGATCTTGGGAGCGGAATAATGGAAATCATCAATCCAGTGGCAAACTTAGGAGTGCAAATGTACAGAAATGCTTGATATTAGGGGCACTAAAACTTTTCAGTTTACAAATCTTGGGGGCAAAACTACCTCTCTCTGCAATCTAGAATTTAATTAATACCTTGGCTTGATACTGATGGATTTTTCCAACTCAATTCCACTCTATAAAAAATTATCAGAAATCAATTATATACACCATATTAGGACAATGTTTGAATCCTTAAAAATCGATAAAAATGTTTTGCATGTAAATGTATAGTTGTGTTGAAAATATTTGGTTGACCCGTGCACACACCAAAGTAAAAGTAGCCAAACAGCTATGGCATCTATTTTTGTCATATGAAGTCTGAACACTCACTTTTCCTTCACTTTGCTTGGTTAGAATAATTGGAGTTTTTATTTGAGTCGGTGGAGTTCCAACTGTCAATCGTTCATCTTGTTTAGCATTGCTTGGTCTAGGACGTCTCTCTCTGGGGTCTCGAAATCCTCGATCACGCCGATTTCTATTACCTTTCCCTTTATTTCCTTGATCCCCTCTAAATCCTCGATCGTCCATCCTGACTTCTTATGTTTTTCAAATAAACAAATAATAACACAAGAGATTTGTCAGCCATTGGCCGTTTGGCGCAGAATCAACAATCGAACAATTGAAGGCAATCTTTGCCCAGCACTACTTCATGTTGGGCCAACAAGTTAAACCAGCTCCCCCCCAGTGTCAGACTGTCAGTGTGCAAGGAGCATTTTATTCTGGATGAACAAAGGCTTTTACATTGTGCTCAAAATAAACAATTTATAAACTGGTTAATCATTTGATCGTTGATTATTTCACGTCAGCAGTTTTGGTTTATTATTGATTATCATTTGTGTAAGCACTTCTTGACAGTTGACACTAACAAACATTTTAAAGATATTTTATATTCAACAAAGCAAATGTTAAAGTAAATAATAAACAGAAGAAACAAAGTTGCTTTAAAATATGAAGAAAGTTCAACCAATATTTGTGGAAGCCCTTTTATCGCCTTGGAGAGCGAGATCTTGATTTTCTTCGAGGAGAATGAGAATTGGAACGACGTTTATAGGGAGAAGGAGAGCGATAAGCCGGTCTAAAAACATAATAACACTCAGTTTTACTTACTCAAAATATTTTAATATTACATAAGGTAATGCTCAAAATAAAAATACAGCTCAGAAAAAAACAAAAAAAAATTCCTTTACCTTTTGTTTCTTCTTACTCGACCATACAACTCTCGTCTGAAATTTGAGCAGAAAAACAATATTTTATGTATATATGTACGTATGTTAGCATATTTAAGAAAATCTTTATCTTTCCTTTTGCTGCTCACCTCAATTCACGAGAAATAGGTCGCATGTGCATGAAATTGCAAAATCCACCACGTGTACACTCTCTGAAATATTTGCAGCTCAGAAAGTTGAATAATACGAAAAATAAACAAAAATTATCAAAACTTAAGACAAGTGTAATAAAACACAATAATGAAATAGACAAAGTACCCCATTTCATATTGTCTGCAACAAGCTTCTCTGAAGTCTGTCACTGGAGAAAGTTCAGCATAAATAGCCTGACCTATAAATGTACGTACATAGTTATGCCTGTCTCAAATAAAGCATCTAAATATATTGATGAAGTTTTTAACAATAATTGAGTGAGAAACTTCACCTACCATCATACCATCGTGAATTCAAGATTTTACATGCTTTTTCAGCATCTTCCTCACGACGATACTTGATGTAAACATTTCCCACAAGATGATCACCCAAATTATCACAAACGTTCATCTCCTCAATCTCACCATACTAAATCACGAAAAAAGTGTTTGTTAATAGTTATGTATTGTTGTGCTTATATTAGATACCAAGAAATATTATTTTTACCTTTTCAAGCTCAAGAAATACATCCTACAAAACATAAATATAACAGCATTAGTTCAGTTAGTGGACAAACTGAATCATTTAACCTCAAAGTGAAAATGGACAAACTGAATCATTTCACCTCAAAGAATCTATCATAATGTTCTTGTGCTTCAACATCAGATATAGCGCTACCTATCAAAAGATTAAAAACATTCACTAATATAATTCTGATAGAATTCTATTAAAGAAATTATTTAATTGAAGTAGTAGACACTAGAAGATTTTAGTTGTGATTTTACCTGAACCATCAGTAACTTGAGCTGCACTTTGGGGACTTTGATATAAATTTTGAAGAAGGACAGTCTAATAACAATAATGAGATCAATCACTTTAAAAGTAAGTGAAAAGATAAATGTTTGTAAATGTAGATCATCCAGGTTGGTATAGTCCTGAGAAGGACTGTTTTTGTTGTTGTTGACTGGAGTATTGTTACATGTTTGTTAATGTAGATCGTCCAGGTTGGTATAGTCCTGAAAAGGACATCAACAACAACAAAAACAGTCCTTCTCGGGACTATACCAACCTGGACGATCTACATTTACAAACATGTAACGATACTCCCAGGTTCAAACCATTTACTTGAAAAGATGAATGAAAGACTTATAAAGAATTATTAGCCATGACAATTAACCTGGCTAAATGTTGGTTTGTTATGGATACGAGAACACCTGTCACCATGACGACATGCTCCAATCTTGAAGTAAAATGAACAGTTCACTCTAAAACGTCATACACAATTGATGAGTATAAATAAGTATTTCCAATAAGCAGCACGAAATTTTAAGGCTTATTTTAATTACAATAACTTGAAAATCAGGACAAAGCTATACTGTACTGCATATTTTGCTTCAATAAAACAAATTTATAAAAGGCAATTGCACAAAGGGAAATGACCGCATGCTGTGTTCTCACTTCTTTCCAGCAAAATAGGCCTTTCAGACCCCAAAATCAACTTGATCATGGACATGTATCTAACAGTATCTTGGCAATATCCAACCTCTTTTTCTTGTTTCACTTTGACTTTCATGTACATTTCACATTTTCTCAAATGTGAAAATAACTTTACTTTAAAAGGTTTCATCCACAAGCTACTACATGTGTTTTGCCAAATGAGTAGAAAGAAAAATACAGCACAGGAAACAATCCTTATATTTTTCAAATTTCACAGTAAAATAACCCGTTTGCTAAGAAATAAAAACAGCGAAGAATCTAGCGTACGTTAAAAATAAACGAGAAGTGAACAAAATTACACTGTCACTGTGTAATTTACAAATCTTTCTGAAATTATGGTAAACAGAAAATGTTTGACTATTAGCTTTTACCTAAAATAACTATAGGAATGCTTAAATTAATGTACAGAAGATGAAAATGAACAATATGATAATCTTACTTATCTTTCTCTGTACCAAATATCGAGGCCAAATATTCCGCTCCAGCTCCTGCCATGTTTAGCACGCTTTCTTCGAAAATCAAGTTTTTTTTTGTAAAAGGTTAGTGTGAGTCGTAAACAATAAGGCCAGCGGCGCCATTTCTTCTTCATGAATTACTTGGTTTTATTTAACAAAATTTAGTGTGAAAATTTAAACAACTTTTTGACAATAAATTTCCAAAAGCACAACGTCTGGAGTTTGGAAGTATATCAAAAATATATGGTGCCTTTGTAAATTCATGCTAATGCTAGCACGTTTAAAAGGTCTTTTGCACATTATCTATGATTGAAACTATGTTTTAGAAATTTATACAAAAAAAAAACAATAAAAAAAAATAAAAAAAAAACATCGCTAAAACCAATAGGCTGGCAAATTGCTTTACTTTCTCAGCTATAACATAAAGCAGGTTTTAAAAACAGTCGACGTCTAAGCTTTGAAAATGCATTATCAAATGACACAGTTAGTGATCAAACCTGTGATAACGGTCTAAGCCATTGGTCTAATCCATGTGAACGATCGGAATCAAGATGATTTTTACATTTTCCATAATTAGGAAATGGGGAATCGCTGCATTTTCAGTGAAAATTTAATCGGAGAAATTTTTGCCAAAATAAAAGAAAAAAGTATTGCTGCCATGTGATAAGAGAATATATATTAATTCTTCTTTCTGAAGGACACAAACTTTCATTTACAAAAACACATTTTTGATTTACAAAGGCACGTTAATACATTCATACATTTATTATTGTAACTTATTAAAACGAATAAGAGTGAGATAAATTTTACTAAGCTCAAATTTTATTTACAATACTTAAAAATCGTGCTATATCATCCAAAGAAAAGAATATACACCAACAAAAAGAAGCAAAAATCCAAGTAGTATAAATAAAATATTTGATAAAATAGCAAAACGCGATAAGTCATGGTATAAAAGTAAAGTATGTGATATGCCAGGAAATAGAAAACCAACGATTGCAGTTACAAATGATCCAGCGAATGACATTTCGTTAGCCAGTTGCGGAAAACTCGCTGAGATAGCAGCTATAATAGTAAAAAATAAGAAAAATTCAGGCAAACTTTTCTAAAGTTAATGTTATAAAATATACACAAACAAGACGCCTGTTCAGGTGTGTTCACTCGTGCCCTGGTTATCACACAATTTTCGTTTTCACCATCTGATCAAAACATGAAAGAATATTGGAAAGCACGAATATTGATTTTTATGGTTTCTTGATTTGAGCAACATGTCCAAGAGTATGGATCGGCAGGGTCATCGGCCATCTAATCAGTTATCAAACATTTGAGAAACATTAAGTAGTTTTATTAAATATGAACAAGAGGGCAGTGTTACAAGTATTGTTAGCCAAAGTATGATAACTAAATCCTCCCAAATGCCAAATAACGTAATAAACAAACAAACATAAATTCAAAATAATAATTATGTCACTAAAAAACAGGATAATTTGTCTACATGAGTCCATACATAAACGACAACAAAAATCCCGAAAAATATACGTAAACTTTTCAACTTGTTTGTAAAACTTTTCTGTCTCCATGCTGGATGCTTCATATTGGTGCAAACGCCGTTATTTTCAAAAAGACACTTAACTGCAATTGGTTACCCCCTCCAGAGCACGAGTAAAAAGTGATTTCGTTTTCACGGTATTTCAAACTTTACAAAGTAAACTCGAGAGTTTAACTTTCACAAGAAAATATTACAATTAAAATATCTGGCGATTTACATCGTCACCTGTTAAAATTAATATGAAAGATCTTGAGAAAACGCTGACGACATTGAAACGATCCTCGCGTATTTCCCGTTTTAAAATAGGGTCAATGATGTCAAAAATAATGTAAATAAGTAGGACTAAGCCACAACATGACGATAAGCCCAACATAACTTTTGAGATGGAATAGTACCTAGACAAATGAAAAAAAACAAGATACATTTAATTAAAAATACATGAGATATTCACGATGGACATCTAAAGCCCACGCGACATTAACCAACCCAGGTTTGACAAAGGTTATCTCTCAAGAGGTAGATTGAGTTTAACCTAGGTTAATCATGGGTTTGTGGTGAAACGCAAAAAAATAAATCTGTTAAGCCCGGGTTAGTTTATGTGTTTATGTTGTGTGAATAAGGCTTGAATGATCTAATTTATAACATGCATGCTCGCATGATCAACATATGTATTCAAAGTCAAAATGATTGAAGATGACTACCGCTATTGTCAAAACGTCAGTCAACATCAACAGCAAAAACAGTCCTTCTCGGGACTCTACTAACCTAGACGATCTAGAATCTACATCCATAAACATATATTTATACATATATTTATTCAAGTTAAAGCAAACTTAAAACAAACAAAAAAAACATAAAAGAATAAACAAAACACTTTCAAATACTGACCATGATTTCGGTAGATTTAGAATAAAACTATCTTCACAATTTGGAGAACAAGACATATATCCAAGTGCCCCAGCGACAACATAACAACAGGAGACAGCAACCATAACAACATTTATGACGATTGGTAACTGCTTAGGTTTTCCTGACTTATTTTCTACCAAAAGAATCTGAAATGGAATTCATTGTTCTCAGTATAAAAAAAGAATATTTTCCTTTAGAGTTTCCTTTTTAGCAGAGAACGCTTTTCACGGAACATTCGACTCATCGCCTTGCGAAGTATAGCGTTGAGTAAAGGAAACATAATGCAAAAGCATGCATTGAGCAAAAATACATCATAATTACTATTCCAGTTTTAGCGTGTATATAATGAAACAAACAGGGGCAAGCTGAACTGGGATGAGACAAAAAGAACTAGTTAAGGGGGGGAGGTGGCTAGCTCGACGTATGGGCCCCTTACACGATAATACAAATTATTAAAGTTAAAAATATTAAATACACAACGGTTTATTAAAGCAACAGAGAGTTGTGTACAAGTTATATTGAGTTTGTTTTGGTTTTAATCCTGCAGTCGGACCCCTTAAATGCGTCTATTTGTTGTTCTTTTTGAGGTTCCAGCACGCCCATAGAAACAAACAAACTGTGGTAGGCATATTAGCCCGTTATAGAACTGCATCTACGTGTACTAAAAAATTCATTTCGCTTTTTTAGGCTTTTTCAAATGGCGGGAAATTTTGATAAATAAAACTTGCTCACTCAATTCAACGTTTTTACTGAAGTTTTCTCAGCTGACCTTTTTTGATGTTTATACGTAACTCAAAGTTATAATGATTATCGTAACATAAAATTATTTTCATACTTACAAACGGTGCTATTTCGAAGGCAAACAACACTATCCCAAAAGTTAAAGGAAGTTTTGACCACTTCACTGAGTTGTTAAATTTCCATTCCTTTGACTGCGTTGAAATGTTAACAAAAACAGCAATGCAAGCATTAAATAAAAGCAAGTTGGCCACAAAAGAAGCCAAAGCCAGAAAATCAGCTCTTCGAATGAAAACTGTTGGTAAACAAAGAATGAATACGAAGAGTATCCAAACAGATAAATCCAAATGCACAATATTTTGCTCGTCAAATCCCTATACAAAAGATATCAAAACTATATATTATAAACAACATTTGTATAGGTAATTGTATAGTTTTGAGTGCAATTACGGATAAACATGCACGAGTGAGTTTTTAAAACTGCAGCAAGCAAAATATCGCAAGTCCGAAGGACGAGTGGAAAACTTAGCTTAATTCAATAGTTTACAAACAACTGCTGCCATTTTTTTATGAATTGAAATGAAGTTTGTACTGCCCTGCAATCAACCAATCACAATCGAGAAATATCTCAAAGTATATTATTAATGATAAAACACATGCACATACGTTATTTTTTACAAACCTGTTTCATTATGTTGGCAATAAACAATATCACAGGACAAGAGAGACAAAATACTGAGATTGAAAGGATTAGTTCAACAAGAAGTCTAAAAACATAAGCAAACACTTGTCACAACCTGTATACGAAAAAATTGAACAGAATTAAGGATAAATTTCAAGTTAATATACATATATACCTTCCAATAAATTCAAATCGCTCGCCAATTAATTTACCGCAAGCTGCACCAATATCGCCAAAATAAGCTTTCTGAGTTCCATTCCTAGAAAATGTAGGAAAATTTTGTCGACAGATGGAAGTAAAAAAAAATTCAAGGGTTCAGAGTCAATATGATTTTGTGAGATAAAAGTTTATGTCGAGCAGGACTCGCGAGCTTTAATCTAAATGTTTTAATTTCCTTTGTGATTCATGCAAGTGCAACACTTTTTCATTCCCAATTAAAAAATATTATGTATTATTAAGAGAAGTTTTTTGTGTTTGATTACCGATGCTACGTACGTTCTAAAATGGCAAACCAATATAAAAGTATTGCTGTTTTAATTGCACAAACAGTTCACACAATCAAACCTGTATATATATGGGGCAATGTATTTAACGGACATCCTAACGCGGACGCTTCGTAAAGTGGAAAATTTTATCTCATAAAGCTTATTCGTAACAACGAAACCCTTTAAGCAGAAACATCCATTAAGAAGACACTTAAAAAATTACAAATCATAGATAAATATCGCACGTTCTTCTAAAAAGCAGTTAGAATCACGCCAAATATGCACATAATACTTTATCATTGGCACGGGAGTGTAATCATAAGTGTTCACTAATCATTTTCATCGCAAGTTATTATATAAAACTCTGAACATCATCATTGACCAAAAAATTCTTTCTGTAATGAATGAATAAGCAATAAATTATAAAAAAGTTTCGGATCCTGTCTTTAGAAAATTTCTCAAGTGCATGTTGGATATCAAAAACTCACAAAAAAATGAATGTCTAGACTTAGAAAGTAAAATTACAATTCTTACGCCTACATCATTTATTCTATCGTTAATGGTATATACAAAGCATATGAAAGTACCTTCTGGCAACTTCCCAAGATGTTTTTACGAGTCTTTGCATTCCAATAGTTGTAAATAATCCACAAGTGACTACCACTATAACACCAACCTATGTGAACAAAGAAAGGCATACTTTATGAACGAATGTTAAAAAATTATCACTGATTAATTTCACTGATTTGCTTTACGACTTACAACACTGAGAAAAATGACAGGTATATGCCTTGAACGAAAATACATTGAGCGCTACCAGAAGCAAAAAATTGAAGCCAAATCTTACACCCAGACACGCGTGTGTAGTGTTTCGAGATTCTCTCGCAGAGTTCCATGTATTTTAGTTCAATGGGACTATGCAATGACTTGTTAATCTGCATTTTCCATGCAATATTTGCCAATATTTACTGCCCCCAAGAAATGATAGCTCCCGTACGCCTATGGCAATACTTACCAATACACCCGAATATTGAAAACCAGCAGAGAGGGAAAACCAACCAGAACCAACACAGAATTTGAAAATCAAAACTGCACTTTGGAATCCTCTAAATTAAATACACAAATTTCCGATCTTAAAACATGTAACGCTGTTGAAGCATTTTGAATAAAGATATCTAGTTGAGCATCCATTCCGTCGTATAGTGTACAGAAGTGAACAAGCTTCTTGGCGAGTTTGTAGTAAGATTAAAAGTTTACGTTAGCAAATGTGCTTTTTCCTTTTCCTCTGGTGCTGATTCGTCATCTTCCAAATATACAGTCTCATCTACATGTAATGGTTTATAGGCCTCATCATGATGAAATTTACTTTTATTTGACATAGCTTTGTTAAAGGTTAAGTTGCCAGTCTTCAAAGGATATCTCTAAAGACGAAAATGAACATTTGCTTAATTATTGCAAACAAAAGAGGCTGAAACGAAACTTCTAATAACACGATAAAAAGTAAAATTGAATTTGGTTGTAGATCTCCCCTAAATTGTATAAAATTAGTCTTTCGCTATGTTTACACGGGGGTACAAATGGAGTGCACACTCTCTAGGACAAGGATACTTTGATAGCTCATTAATGAAAATGTTATTGCCCCCTCCCCCAACTATTTTCTTTATCTCTTGCTTTTTAAAGTGTAAAAGTATAAAAATCCGCTTTGGCAAATACTTACATTTGAAAAGTATAGATGTTTAACAGTATTTCTTATCTCACTTTATGTTCTACTTTCATTTTTTAGTTTACGTTAGATTGATCAATAATAAACTTTACGAACGAAATCAAACAAATTTGGTATATTGAACGATTACTGATAAAACTGTTAAAAACAAATTTGCTATACTGGGAAAAAACATCCGTTTCCTGGAATTTCTTTTGCCCTCCCAATTTTCAAACCTCTCCGCAGCATCTGTGACACATATATAAGTGAGCTGCTGATGGGCAACGCATTGTTTCATTAAAGAACCAAAGTTAACGTATTGTATTTTGGTGGATATACTCTGGTTTGTAGAACAAACCTAAATAGAAACTGTATTCTTGTTCCGTATGATTTGATAAATTACTCTATTTGACAGCGTAAAACAAAATAACTCCTATGCGACACAATTCTATGTGACTGATGCTACACGTATATCTAACATATGTCCCTGAAAACGTTGAGCAAGACAGTGGTAACTTCTCAGGCTGCAACCCCTCAGCCACAACAATGGTTAATGGCAATAACATCCCTCTATAGCCACCACAACAATGGTTAATGGCAATAACATCCCTCTATAGCCACCACAACAATGGTTAATGGCAATAACATCCCTCTATAGCCACCACAACGATGGTTAATGGCAATAACATTCCTCTATAGCCACCACAAAAGTGGTTAATGGCAATAACATCCCTCTATAGCCACCACAACAATGGTTAATGGCAATAACATTCCTCTATAGCCACCACAACAATGGTTAATGGCAATAACATCCCTCTATAGCCACCACAACAATGGTTAATGGCAATAACATCCCTCTATAGCCACCAAAACAATGGTTAATGGCAATAACATCCCTCTATAGCCACCACAACGATGGTTATTGGTTCGTACCAATGGTCTCTCCGCAACGTAAGAGTTCTTGCGCAATAAAACACAAATTTCATGTTTGATTCGAACTCTTTATTACTATTCTTGTACATCCTTAAAGTTCATTTTTTAAAGGCAAAAACCAAAAGTTAATTTGAAAGCGTAATTAGTCAGGTATAAATTATAACGTGGAATTTTGCCAAATGTACGTATAAAATTAATACCTGTTGACGTTATTAAAAAATTATAAAAACGCTGCTCGTGAGTTATCATGGTCAATTTTTGACTTGCAACCATTCTCTTGAGAGTTAAAAACAATGCTGAAGGCACACGTCGGCTGGTGTCAACAATAACACAGAGAAAATACTCTTGTGTATATTAAAGGCCACCATTCATGGATGAATAGCAAGTCAAAAATAACGACATGATCGTCTATTTCTTCACACACAAATTAACAAGTCGAAAGTGAGAATATAAAATTATCCACATACCCGTATTGAAATTATTCAGGTAATACTGAACGAATATGAATATTAACCATCAGAAAATGTAAACAACAGACCATTTGGGAAATGAAATGTGATATGATACGACTCAACGATCAAGCGCACAAGGTAGTTAATTAATCACGTTTACAAACGCATACGGTTGACACATTTTAGTCAATGACTATGTCTATAAAAAAGCGCATGTACCTCAACTTTGGTCCTTAGCAAATGGTATATTGATATATCGTTTCTTTTTTTTCCAGAGAAACATGTGTAGTTTAACAATCTTTTCGACAACTATTTAACATGAAGTCGCTTATTCACTTCATGCAACAGTGCGTAGTGAATAAATCATTTTGTTTTCCTGACATTAACTAGACTTTTAAAAAAGTAAAGCAAAAAACATTCCGAATAAACAGGACATCTTGAGATAACAAAATTTGTATCAGTGCAAGCAAGACGCAAATAAAACTGTGAAATTTCGACTTTATTTCAAAGCCATCCTCAGACTTTGCGATGAGGCATTGAAGTCGATACATATTTGTTTCAAAAGATAGGAAATGTTTCTTCAAATTTCAAAATGATCTTAAACCTTTCTACGCCGACGTTTCGAACATTCAAACGAAAACGCCAGAGATTACGATCATGCTAAGATGGAGCGATAATCAGGTAAGACTTCGTTAACCGAAACAGCACTGAACGAGGCAGGTCCGCCGCAGGGCACAAATCCAAAAAAATGCAAGGTGGGGGGGTCTTCTACGTTCTGCGACAGACTTTAGGAGCGTCTTTACTCAAGTATAAAAAGTCCCACGGACCAATTTTCTCGTGATCTGCGTTGGAGAGCATGGCTGTAGAAAGCACGTGGTCAACAACAAAAACAAAAACATGAACTTCTTAAACATTGAAATGAATCTTAAAGTAAATTCAGTCCGCACTCCGAAGTAAACAATGGTTGAAAATTACACTGGTTGCCAACGTAATTTGAATCAACCATAAATGTTTCAAACATTTACTTTATTTCTCTTTTGACAACCGGGTTGAATTTTGATTCAAGTATCATTAAGCGAACATATCCATTGTCTCAGTTCATGGCAAATAAAAACATTTTTAATAAAACTCATCACAAGCTACGGGTAAATAATCACTTTTTGTTTTGTTGTCTACGGTTTACATGTAAGCGATTTTTTCTTTGTCACGGTGTAATGTCTATCTATGGTTGTCCTCAAAATGCACGATAAATCATTGCACATGCGCAATGCGCTCGACCAATTGTTTCACGACTCGACCAACAGTCTTGAGGCTCTGAGTTCTTGGCAGCCAACAAAGGAATCTATATCTCCACTTATTACCACAAATTATTAAATATCCTACCTTCTGATTTTCTAGTCTAAGGTTGGCAGGTCACTGTAAGATTCAATTTAAAAGTTATTGTGAAAAAAAGTCAATAAAATCAATTTAAGTTAATTCACAAGTTAAAAATGCTAACCTTACATTTTGATTATAATTTGCTATTCATTTGTTCTTCCAACGGATCCTTCCAACCACAGAGCAAATCAGCAACAATATTCAAACGATCTTGTCCCCAAATGATTGCACCATTATTAACCTGATAGCTAGGAACACCACATACACCAGCTTTAACAGCCCTGTAGATTAAAATTTCAATAGTTGCTTCTACTGACAAAAAACTTTCATTAATATGGTAGACTGACACTATAGTTGAAAAACTTGCTTTAATTCAGGCACAAACCATATGAAAGCATCAGTGTTAGTGACAACTGAGAAGATTAATTGTACAATTCTAGAATTCACCTGTCAGTGTTTGCTCGAAGTTGATCTTTGATATCTTGTTGTTGAGCATTGTCAAACATCTTGTCAGCATCAAAGCCAACTTTGTGCAAAATCTCTCTTAAGATCTATATAAAACAATCATTACAAGAAAGAACTACCAGATAATATTAATAAACATTTTAATACCTCAACATCACCAATATCCTTATCCTCAATCCAAGCAGCTTTATCTGTAGAATGAACTCAAACAAATCAAGAAGACTTACATAAAATTTTTTTACTTACAACAGAAGTAATACATACATAATGCAGCCTGAAGTTCACTATCATTTCTGCTAGCCAGCAACAAACGCATTGGTAAAACAGTTTTTAATGGAAAATTTGATGGAAACTTAAAACCTTTGATACCATGTAATGTGCACCAATCATTAAGACTCTTTGTCAGGTAAGCAAGTTTTGCAGCACTGAAATGCCTCATTGGAACCTTAAAAATTTTTGTTAATAATTAAATCAGGATTAATATTTCCATTCATTCAGTTCAAGAGATGCCTTTGTATTTGAACGTAAAGTTTCTTTTGTCACATGATGTACCTAGTTGGTATGATTTAAAAGAACGAATGACATGCATTTGGGAGAGCAATTTCATTATTTCATAATAATCAACATACAATAGGTGTTCCAATTTGCTTGAACAAGGAGCCAACCACAATAGGCAGAGATTCAATTGTTACGTTTACTGGTTTAACAACCTTTATTAGATTTTCTAACTGAAAAATAAAGGAGATCAAAGGAGAAGAAAAATTAACAACTTCTTTTAATCATAACAACCTGGTGTATGTATGCTAGTGCAACATAAATAAGAAATAAGACATAACATAAAAAACAATGTCGGAATTCGACTCATTAAAAATATAAAAATAGCCAGGTCAATAATAATAAGTTCAATGAGAGAGATAAATTGGTAAAGAGAAAAAGCGAATTTGATACACATTGATTAATGGAGATGTTTTCTTGTAGATTTTGAAAAATTTGTAAACATGTGTAACCTGTGTTGATCCTAAAAAACTCCATGGGCTTCCAAGATCATAATAAATTGTCAGGTTAACAGATTGGGGTGTCTTCGGTGGTTCAGTGAGTCGCGGGGGAGATGCACTCTTTCCACCTAATTCACGTTCAACAAAATGTAAGTTATCCACTCCCCAAAACAGTTTACCATTCACAACAAAACTATAAAATAAAAATGAGCATGCATTTATCTACAGTCAACAAAAAGATATCATCAACAACAAAAGGCATTTGTAAAATTTATAAACCATAAAAATCAGCTATTTCTCTAGAAAGTACATGTATATCATTACCTTGGTACACCAAAGGCACCATTTTCTAATGCATCCTCTGTATTTTTCATCAATAATACTGTTCCACTCTTAGCAATGATGTCTTGTACATCCACATTCCAGCCAATTATCTGAGTAATTTTTTGTAGTACTTCACCATTTGTAATATCTATAAAATTCAATAGAAAAAAATTGCATAATATTTGATTAGTATGTGTATTAAAGATGACTGACAAGCTGATATGTTGGCCAGAATATACCTTTATTTTCAATCCAGTAGGATGAAAACAGGGCATGTGTTAAGCTTACTCGTAACTTTGAATCACAAGAAGTTGCAGCCAAAAGTCTCATTGCAGACAGGCTGTTAGCAGGATAGGATTCTGGTGGATTGATCGGAACGTTGAATCGCTGAACCATTCTTGCAAATTCTAGTAATAGACAAAAAAATATAAATTCACAGAAATGAGAAAACTATATAATCTCAAATGAAATAAATACTAACGTTGACGAAGAATAATTTTTTTCGCATTGCAGCTATTAACCATGGGCGATTGTGATTCATTTGCCTTATACAAAGCATCTTTATGAAAAAACAACAATTATTCATATGTCAACTACAATTTAATTTGCAATTAACAGACTCACTCAACAATACAGGTGTCCAATGGATTTTTGCCGCACATTGCTCAGCTATACGCTCAATTAGACGACTAGCTACGTAAGCAAACGGGCAAACAACATCGTAATAAAATGTCAGTTCGGCCATCACCTTGTTTCGATGAAAAAACGAGACAAATATTTGCATAGGCGTACGGGAGCTTTCGTTTCTGAGGGGCAGTAAATACTTTTTCCAACTCACAAAGGTTCTGCCGTTTTCAATCTTTAAACTTTTTATGAGGGGCAGCTGCCACCCTGTCTCGTGCGCCTGTGAGCAGTGAAGACCTGGTGGAGACATTGATATGATGTTACATTCTTCGTCCATGAATACATTGAATATTAAATTATAAACATGATTATTGAAAAGTGTTGCCACTCAACATTTCCCAGAATTTCTTTAAATTTTTGCGTTTGCGTTATTGGTTTTAAGTCCCAAGCCCCAAAATCAGGAAAAAATCTCCAGACGCTAACGATTTCGTTTCCAACTTCATTTTTTTGATGTAGTAAGTTAATAAATGAAAGCAAAAAATAGCATTGAACTGAATGAATTTGGTTTTATATAAATCCGGAGAGTCTCCTGCAGTGGTATCGCAATCGCATAGTAGAGAGCTTCATCGTTAAAATATTGGCTGTACAATGGTACAGCGTAGTTATAAACGCAATTACAACCACACACTAGAGAAAATTAAGACCGTAGGGGAGAAGGGGCTAGAAAGATGGCGTAAATTAAAGGCCATACCAGGTAAGCCAGTCAATAAATACAATTTTGTAACATTTTTTCATCATTTTTGCCCAAAATGAACATTTTTAAACTAGGGATGGAATTAAAGAAGATACGGGCTATATATGCATGTAGTGCATGTTTCCAATAACTACTGTCTCTTTTGACTTGTTCATTTTTCATAACTTATTTAGTACGACTTTCTTTTTTACGGGAATACAAGTAACTTATGAATAATTGAGCTGCTTACAACGGTGGTCCAATTTTTATCAACAGCATTCCCAAAATTGAGAAACAATGTCGTTTTCAGTTTATAAAAGCAATGACACTGTGTGTTCATTTACAAAAAAGCGAATAAAAAGAAAGCATGTTTATTTGGCTTATCATGGCTTACCCCACACTCAATTTTTGGAAATGATTTTTAGTTCATCTAATAAGTTTGGCGTTTGTACTGTATGAATATGTTTTGCTGATACAATTATGTATTTGCTGTTTCAACCATCAGTGGCTACGTCAATTTTTTAAATATCAAAGAAATAGTTCATATCACATAGAAGTAGCTGCTGGAAAGTTTAATTTTAGACTGAAAGCAAATTACATTAAACATAAATCTATTCTTGTAATCGCAATTATCAATGAGAAAAACCGTATAGTTATGAAAACCAGAAACTGTTTTACTATCACACATGATTCTACACTTATTCGAACTATAAAATAGGCTCGTTCACTATTATGTAACTATATAATTTCGTGGAAATAAATTAGCATTTAGTTTTTTAATTATGATAATTACACATGCAACCTTTTATTCCATAAGTATATAATGTAATTTATTTCATTTTAACGGCTAGAATTTACTATTTTATTTTCTTCTTGGACCGTAAGGTTAGCGTCAAAGTCTGGATGACTCAGGTTCTGGGATTCCTAAAAATAACAAAAGTTTATTAAAAAAAAGAGAACGGAGAAACGACATATCCCAAAACCCTGTGAAGAAATATTCACGTGTTCCAAATACTTCTACTTCACATAAACTTAAAGACTTGTGTTTCCCAGGAATACGTATAGTCAAGAAACGTCCGTCCATATTTGGACATGATATAACCTTGGATGCACCGCTTACAGTGTGAAGTCCACCACATCTAGGACTACGGCCAGCATCTTCACCAAAGTAATTTGTGCCAGGAATGTGCACAAATTTAATAGAAAAGTAGATTGTGTTGCAAAAATAATTTTGTGTCTCCTTTACTTCTCTGGAGTTAAATTACTATCATTTTATAAGGAAACGAAATCAATATGCATTTCCAAAATGACGTCAAATTAATTTGAATTAAAGAAAAATAATATGATGTGACCAATTAAATGTCGAGCTCAATAAATTCATATGGATGGAAAAAAGATTTTTTTATCAATAACATTATTCTCAAAAAAATTGTTATAGTAATATAAGTAGGCAGGTAGAGATTTGAATTTTTACAAATATATAACTTTTCTCTCCTATTTACTGTTTTGGGTTAAGATTAAAGAATATATATATGACATATAACAAGTACCATTATTATCAACAATATGACCCAAAGTAATAATATATCGTTACCACATACCTCTTGAAGGAATATAAAGTTCAACTTGTGGCTGCTCAGCTTTGGTAGGTTGTAAAAGAACCATTTCTCTTCCATTTATCATCACCCTCCTACCAGTGTTTGCATCAATAACGGTGAACACAATGCTAGAATTCCTAGGTGTCTTTATGGTCATTTCAATGGAGCTTCCAGCCGAAACACGAATTGAATCATGAGGTGCATTTAACGCACTTCTGATTATAACATCGTTCTCATATTTATTGAAAAATTTCAATAGAAAGTAATAGGTTGCTGAAAAAGAGAAATTGAAAAGAACATGGATTATTCGTCGAAACAAGATATGAAATTTTGTGCACAAAATGGCTTCAAGTTTTGGCTGGAAGAAGCCTTCCAGTTACATTCAGTTCAGTGCCCTGTACCAATAAAACAGTAATGTGAAACAAATCGTACAATTTACTTACTGTAATCTTTAAAAGGAACAGCTAAAGTATAAAATCTATTGAGGCCAGGAGTTAACCGAATAAGGAATCTGTTGTTTATTTGCAAAAGTTCTGTGTTTTGCAAGAAGTCATATGCTCTAAGTTCAACATCTTTGTTGGAGGTGACATTGACATTCACAGTTATTTTTTGGTTTGGATTGAAAGTGATTACATTATAGGGTTTCGGTAAATTTGTTTGAAGATATATTTTCTTACCATATCTATTCTCGACTGAGAAACGAAGTTGGTACTGTGACGATGAATCTAAAGTACAGGAGAGAAAATTTCAGTAACGAAAAATTGAGAAGCTGGTGCACAATAAATGAAAAACATGACTGCATACCTATTTCTGGGTAAGGTACAACATATTGATTGGGAAACACTGTTACTGTTGACTTGCCATCCACAGAGGTTGGTAAATTTGTAACAGCATCATATAAACTGATGATAATAGGTAGTCGATTGGTAACGGTTATGTTGTATTTAAAAGACTGTCTTGGTTCCACTGTGATGTCATTGTAAGGTGGTGGAAGTAGAGAACGAAGCACAATAGCTTTACCAGCAGTGTTCACAAAGGTATAAACGAAACTGTAGACGCGACGATCTACAAAGCAATGAATAATGTTTGGATGACGTTTTCAAAATTATATTTGCTTGAATGTATGATTAGAGTTTTGAATTTTTCATAGGCTAATCCACCCCACCCAACCCCCCTGTAAGGTGTACACTTCTTGTTTTAATCTAAAGCTGCACATACCTGCAACTGAGTAGAATCCACCCCACTCAACCCCCTTGTAAGGTGTACACTTCTTGTTTTAACCTAAAGCTGCACATACCTGCAACTGAGTAGAATCCACCCAACCCAACCCCCTTGTAAGGTGTACACTTCTTGTTTTAACCTAAAGCTGCACATACCTGCAACTGAGTAGAATCCACCCAACCCAACCCCTTGTAAGGTGTACACTTCTTGTTTTAACCTAAAGCTGCACATACCTGCAACTGAGTAGAATCCACCCCACCCAACCCCCTGTAAGGTGTACACTTCTTGTTTTAACCTAAAGCTGCACATACCTGCAACTGAGTACAATCCACCCAACCTAACCCCCTTGTAAGGTGTACATTTCTTGTTTTAACCTAAAGCTGCACATACCTGCAACTGAGTAGAATCCACCCAACCCAACCCCTTGTAAGGTGTACACTTCTTGTTTTAACCTAAAGCTGCACATACCTGCAACTGAGTAGAATCCACCCAACCTAACCCCCTTGTAAGGTGTACATTTCTTGTTTTAACCTAAAGCTGCACATACCTGCAACTGAGTAGAATCCACCCAACATAACCCCCTTGTAAGGTGTACATTTCTTGTTTTAACCGAAAGCTGCACATACCTGCAACCGAGTAGAATCCACCCAACCCAACCCCTTGTAAGGTGTACATTTCTTGTTTTAACCTAAAGCTGCACATACCTGCAACTGAGTAGAATCCACCCAACCCAACCCCCTTGTAAGGTGTACATTTCTTGTTTTAACCTAAAGCTGCACATACCGGCAACTGAGTAGAATCCACCCAACCCAACCCCCTTGTAAGGTGTACATTTCTTGTTTTAACCTAAAGCTGCACATACCTGCAACTGAGTAGAATCCACCCAACCCAACCCCTTGTAAGGTGTACATTTCTTGTTTTAACCTAAAGCTGCACATACCTGCAACTGAGTAGAATCCACCTAACCCAACCCCCTTGTAAGGTGTACACTTCTTGTTTTATCCTAAAGCTGCACATACCTGCAACTGAGTAGAATCCACCCAACCCAACCCTCTTGTAAGGTGTACACTTCTTGTTTTAACCTAAAGCTGCACATACCTGCAACTGAGTAGAATCCACCCAACCCAACCCCTTGTAAGGTGTACATTTCTTGTTTTAACCTAAAGCTGCACATACCTGCAACTGAGTAGAATCCACCCAACCCAACCCCTTGTAAGGTGTACACTTCTTGTTTTAACCTAAAGCTGCACATACCTGCAACTGAGTAGAATCCACCCAACCCAACCCCCTTGTAAGGTGTACACTTCTTGTTTTATCCTAAAGCTGCACATACCTGCAACTGAGTAGAATCCACCCAACCCAACCCTCTTGTAAGGTGTACACTTCTTGTAATCATTTTTATTTTTGCCACCTTCTCACAATATTGCAAAGTTTTTTTCAAAAAATAGAAAACATATTTTACAGTTAAATTTTGGATGTAAAAGGAGAAAATTAACTGGAGAATTCAAAATACTATAAGAAACGCAAATGATTTATGCGTTTATAAAAACATCAGAATTCCTTACATAGTAATATATTTACGATATTCCTGCATTAATTATGAAATAACAATAGCCTTCGTGAAAAAGTTAAGGAAACATTTACACGTAAAAGCACTAACCTCCAGCTATGGGTGTTGTTACTGCTTGACGTGGTGTTGCTAGAAATGAAATTATAATCATGCAATCAATAAATGTGAGTAAAATCAATTGAAAATCTCATGATGCATTCTTGAAATCTAATCTTTACAAAAACCAAAACAGTTTTTGTGAAAAAGTTAAGACACCAATAAAACATGAAATACAAGCACTAACCTGTCGTTGAGGGTATTGTTGTCATTTGGCTTCCTGTCACTACAACTAAAATTTGTACTCATGTGAGTCTTAATTGATGAATTTGTGTGAAAAAGATGAGATGAAAATGTCATAAAATCTCATAATGCATTCTTCGCACGAGTCTTCAATCTTTACAAAAAAGCGAATAGCCTTTTGAAAAAGCTATCACAGTTTCTAAATGTATCAACATGACGTGGATGTATGAAAGTACACATAAAATACAAATACTAACCTCCAGCTACAGGTGTTGTAACCGTTTGGCTTCGTGTCACTAGAATTAAAATTTATAGAAATGTGAGTTTTTATTGATCCAACTCATGTGAGTAAGATGACTGAGAAATGTAATGATAAACGCATATCAAGTAATAAAAAGTGAAAAAAACCCACAAATGCAGAGGAGCAATACCTTGTGTTGGGGTAGAGGAAGTGGACGTTCTGCTTTCTAAAAAGAAAAAAATTAGCGAATTACAAATGAGAAGTAAAAATAACTGCGCGTGAAAGCTGTGATATCTAAAGCAATCGGCTGCATGTTGTCAATAAATAATATTTTTAAAAAAAATTCCAGTGAAATTTTGCAGTGCGTATTGTTGTTGAATACGGTAGAGTTACAATGATTCCAAACTCTATACCTGGGAGCACGCAAATAGCTTGTGGACAGAAACAGTCAAATCTTTTAGGATCAGCAGGAATAACAACTAACTTGAGAGTGTATGGTAATGTACAACCCAATAAATTGAAAGTTTGTAGGAGACACATCCGACGACATTTTGCGCCGCTAGATTTACAAACACACAACCGGCTACAATTATCCTCGGAATATTCCTCTCCAATCTTCACTAGTTCACCAGATTTTTTGATGCAGCCTAAACATTACGCACATTTAGAATTGAAATTTCTCTCGACGCAAGTAAGTTATTTTTTACCCTGGCTCCTCAAAGAAGTGACTGTTCGCAAACGGAATAGCTAAGCGTGCCGTTGTATGTATACAGCGAAAACATCGTCTAAGAACATACCTGGTTCTTCAGTGACAGTGAGGGATACGTAAGGTGTCTGTGGATCTATTGATGGTGTGAGAAGGAAGAGTAAGTATCCATTGATGTAAATCCTTTTATTTGTCAAAACTGTAAAGGCACTGATTGTAATATTTCGGAATGATGGCAAGCCAATTGATTTAGTAAGAGGTATGCCAGGTTGAATCTTGAAATAGTTATTCGGTGACGGAAGATCTGTTTTAAGCCGAATGGATCCAGTATATTTGTTGACAACCTTCATTCGAACGTAATACGAAAGAGTTTCTATAAAAAATATTTTTCGGATCTGAGTTAAACAATTCTCCACGTCCACACGAAAATAATTTCCTGTTCCTCAAGAATATAATTTGAATGTATGACCAGTAAAAGCGCCATTTTTTCACAATAACGCGTTAAACGTCAAAGGTAAAGTTGTCTTTGAACTTTGTAAAGAAAAAAAA